AGTGCGTAAAGAAGTAAAAAGCTCAATTACGAGTTTCTACACAATTTGACATGCATTAGTGGAGGGACAAATATTAGCATATTTGTGAGGTGGAGGATGACCAGCATGATGGCATTATTCTTAGATTTTGCTAAAAAATTATATATAATGAATTAAATAATATGATGCAGATGGAAAAAATTGAATGAAAAAGTTGATTGTTCTAAACACGCAAATAGAAAAAAACATTATATAATTCATTAACGTTATTCTTATAAGATTTTGAAGCTACAGAGATGTTCAATGAATTGTTTCTGTTTATATTGTGGAGAAATAGTCATTCTTAATGTACATAATTTTTTCACCATAATGGTTTTTCATATACACACAGGTGGTGGGATCCATTCAAATAAAATATTCAAGTGGGTCTCACCACTTGTGTGTGTATGGAGTTGAAAAAATTATGTAGGGGAAGACAAATCCGTGGAGAAAATAGGAATAATCCAACTGGAATTACGTGTTATGTGATCCGGTCCATGATTAGTGCTGGTGGATTGACATATATAGTGGTCTCGTGCCTACGCTACTAGGCGTTATCATATTTTCAGGGTCCAACAAAATATTATGCCATTGTTTATTTCATTTTGGAATTCCCAGTCGAAAACTCTGTATCTCTATTTATTTCTTCTTCATAGTTTTTGTTTTTATAAGATTCCAACCTTTTAAAGCGTATTTATTTTCATTTTCATTCTCCAATTTTTATTTTAAACTCCTTTTGTTCCTCGTATCTTTTACTGTTTTGAATCTACTTTTACGTTCATTTCTCATGTTTTAGTTTGTGATTGTTAACATTCCAACAAGTGGTGCCGAGATTGACATTGTAGGTGTCCTTTGTGTTGGCGTTTGCTTTTTAGCGGTGGCTTGAATTTTTTGACGATTCTGTTCGTGTTTGTCATGTATCAAAAAGTGACAAATGCCACAATATATAATTTGACTTTTTTAATACAACATTTTTGTGAGATTACAGTGTGCTCATCAAAATTTTTCATTAATATATACAATCATTGGAATTAGGCACCAATTGGCCCGACTTTCCTAAATTCCCATCATATGCCCTTGGCTTGGCTTAGCTTAGCTTATGCTCATTTAATAAAAAATCATATACTATGTCACTTCTTCATTTAAAAGTCACATACCATATTAATTTATCAACTAATTAAAAGTTTCTGCATATTTTTCAAAATTTCAACAAAATGAATGTACCACACATAATTTTTACTGGGCCATGATCCGCCAACATTATTCTGAAAATAGTTCCAGGGACTATGCTACTTGTACATAATTTCTTGTACATAAGGGTGTCCACCCTCTCACATGGGATGGATCCCGGATGATTAAAAAAAGAATTTTATTCA